GATTATCTAGAAGATAGATTTTCACGAAAAAAACGAGTAGGAGTTAAATTGCATATGGGCGAGTTATGGTGGATTAGGAGGTTATCCAAACTGACCAAATTGAGCATCAAACTTCACAAAGTCCTTGATCCTCCTGATATGGCTTCCCTTTCTCTGCTAAACGAACTTGCTTTGTTTGGTTTGGACTTGCAAACCTTTCCGCAACTTCCCTTGTCTTTGCAAAAGCTAAGCCTTGATCATTTCAATGTAATTGGGCCACTCTCTACGAACCTGAGAAACTTGTCATGTTTAAACCTCTATGGTTCTCCAATGCAAGAAATACAACTTGATGGGCTTCAACTTCCACAGTTAAAGGAGTTGCTTGTGCGAAACTGTGTATACGTCGAGAAATTGAGGCTATCAAGAATGCAGAAGCTGAAAGATGTCGAGGTGCATTATTGTGGAAAGCTAGTTGAGATCCAATTTTCTTGGGTGTTCGAATCACTGGAGGTATTGCGTATTGAGTATTGCATGTCCTTGGAAAAGATAGCTTATGAGTCTACTAATGAGTTGATTAATTGTGAAGGGAAACTAATTTTCCAATCGAGAGTCTTAACTAAGTTACGAAATCTCGCACTGAGGGCATGCCCTAAAATACTCGACATTCAAGTTGTAGGTCCGTCGGAATCGTGGGAATCGTTTGACCTTGTGGGTGGTCCAAATGTGCAAAGTCTCGGTGGTTTGTCATACTTAAAGAACCTGAAGTCTTTAATAATTGAGTGCTGCAGTGGGCTACGGGTTGTCGAGGGTGTCGACGAGTTGGAGTTTTTGGACTACTTGTCTGTTTGTGGATGCGGATCGTTGGAAAGGTTGATTGATGTGTCAACCACCAAACTGCCAAATGATTGCCGCGTACGGATCTACTATTGCAGGAAATCAGGAAGGGTTAAGAAAGGATTCATAGGCTCCGTCCAGTCCTTCAAGCGGTATAAGGTGAGTCTAAATCATTCTCTCTATTTCTTTTTGATTTTTTCTTGACGCAACTATCCACAAACACGAATTCAACTTTAAGGTAGATTTTGTAATGATGGTGAGAAATCAGAAAAAAAAAAAACAATCAAACAAACATTGATTAATATTTGGTCTCACTTATTTTAAAATCCACTTTATATAAATTTGTTTTATTTTCAGCTCACGTTTTCTCATTTTCTTTTTATTGTATATGAGAAAGTTCTATATGTGGAGCAAGTCTACACGACAATGTCAATTTTTATCAGAAGGAATAGGACAAACTACAATTTTTAGAAGAAATATATAAAATATCTTGGAGTCTCTTATTAAAATGATCATTTCGTTTTATATAAAATGAATTGTTTAGTTTAGCGAATTTTTTACGTAATATACTCCACTTTGTTTTCCATTTCTTGCTTAAAACTATTCATTCTGCAAACGAGTTTAGTGACTTACGCTTTCTACGGTGAAGATAGAACATTAATAGAATCAAATACACTTTGCACGACTTTTTTTTTTTTTTAAAATTTGCCAACGGAGGTGTTTCGAGAACACAACTTACGTGGTCCACCTATCCACTAATCAAGTGACTTATGTCCTTTGATGGATTTAAGTGTTACTTGAATTTGCATGTGGTTGGGGTCGGCCAAGTAGGACGTGTGTTCCAAAAGCATCGTAAAATGCCTTTTAAGATTTTTCATTCTTAAAAGAAAAAAATTGAGAATCTAATCGGTGGATGATGTATTTCTGCATACTCCCCTGTTTTTGACAGTTTGATAAAAGGCCACTTCAAACATGATTCAAAGTAGTTGATCTTTCGGATATTTACTTTTTTTAGTCGCGAAGCATTTTTCTTTGTGGTAGAGTGCAGATTCAATTTCTGCTACTCATTTAACTTTTGATGCGCAGCGAGTCTTGGTTTCAACTTCTACTATAATTTACTCGATTGTATACATAAAAATCTTCTTAAGTTAGCTGGAATAGGAACAAAACCAGTTGAATTTATGCCTATGCAAATTCACATAGTTGAAACTTCATTAACCTGCTTCCATGACTACGCTTACACAGAATTGGGGAGAAAAGGAGGAGGGAAGGCTTTATCTACTTGATTTATATCTAGCCCCCCATCATTTTCCGATAATAACATATTGTTTCCCTCTCTTAGAAGCTTATATCTGAGGCATATAAAGTGTCAAACCCGTAAAAAAATCTTACGGATCTTGTGGACCGGGTAGGATACGAGTCAAAGACAAAGAGGATGGTTTCAATGTGAAATTGTTTGCATTTGGTGATACGGAAAATCAAACTCGCGTGATGTGCATAGTCAGTATACACAATTGTCCTTCATCATTACGCGAATCTCACATGATTTACGATATTTTTTTATATGATATTATTTCCTCTTATGTATAGATCCTTTCTCATACCGCAATCTAAATATATATACATCAGTAGCTTTCGAAGAATTTAGAACAGCTTCTATCTATTTACTTTTACATAGTATACATTGACAAAATGATTAAACACAGTAGACAGTAAGTAGTTGATATGTATTACTGGTTGAAACTTTCACGCAATATTGGTTATCATTTTATTTTTCAGGAATCACTCTTTTATCGGACTTGGACACGTTTTAAAGACATTGTGGAATTTTGAAGACTATCTCGGATTAAGATTTTTAGCACACAGGGACGGACACCAGTCTAGTGGGGTCAATGCACTGAAGAGTCTACAAGTTTCTAAGAATGATTTTAGGAACCAGGGCATCAAGTTAGGACGCAGGTGAGACCTCATCATTTTCAAGCTACACAGATGAATTGCCCTTGTGGCACATTTAAGAGACATGCTGTTCTTCACATCCACATTTCTGATCCTTGAATCCTTGTAAGATCCGTCGCTTGAATTTGTTACTTCAGGATTGTCGCATATCTTTTCGACTAGTTTTCACAACTCATTGAAATTGCCCGTCTTGCATGGAAAACTGCAAAAATTTAGTACAAGCAGGTTAAGCATATGCAATATAGTGTTGTGTCAAAAAGGTCTAATCCAACTTATGAAATTTACTTGTTTGAGCTGGCAATGTCTCTAAGACAGGGATGACATAACATGAACAGCATCATATCCATATAAAGAACAGATATGACATGACATCGATACATTTTTCTGTAAACAAGAGTTATTTCGGTCTTAAAAGTAAATATTATTCGAAGGAATATCGCTCTCCCATTTCATGTGACTCAGAAGGTTCAACTCGAACATGAATAAATCATGCTACAGCAGATGGTGAACCCGACTTCCAGGCTTGTAGTCTTCTATTAGATAATCTAGTCATATGTTACCAGAGACAAAGATCAAGATGTCAATATCCTCTTTATAGCATATTATGGTGAATTTAATATGGCTTTCCTGGCAAATAATAATGGAAGACTTGGACTTGAAATAGAATTGCAAGTAAAACTTTATGATTTCAGCTGAAAAGGCTCTAATTTCACCAAGCAACCAAATGATCACAGAGCATCAAAAGATTTTTTTACATATATCTACATGGGTTGATCAAAATAGTAATATACAGCAAATAGGTGAGTGTCCAATGTCTCAATGGAAACTATGATATACAGTCGAACAAAAAATATCTCATTTTACCCTAGATGAATGTCCATTGGATAGCAGAAGAGTGATAACCAGGGCAACTTTTTATGGGAAGGAGGTAAATTTCTTCCTTTTATCCCCTCTGAGGGGAGGGGGTGGCAGCAGGAAGAAGACAACTTACACATTACTAACTCACTGTCAGCAATTGTTAACTGAAGTACATGGGAAGATGAAATCAGTAGAATTTGAACAACATTTCATTCAACTCTAAAGTTACAACTTGATTGGGTACCAATGCCTCACCCCAGATTGAGAAATGGTTTTCACACTGTTATGGCTTCCAGTCAAAAGAGATTGACTTTTTGTGTCCTCCCTTGCAAGTGAATTTAGACCAACCAGCAACTTTCCTCCAACTTGAGAATCTTTGGAATTGTCTCCCAACCTTTTGAAGATTGCATAAACCATGTGATGTTATAAAGCACGGAATGTCCAATCAAAGAAACTAGAATAAAAAAGAATATCTTCACTCTTTTTCATTTAGATGTACAGAAGCAAGTCTTTTGCTGATAATTTGAGTAAGCTTTCTCCCAGTTAATAGATCTCGAGAAGACTGACTCTTAATTTCCTCTGATTTATTAAATAAATTTGAGTGGGCTTGTCCAGGCAACCTACAGGTAAAGAAAGAGGACAATATAAAAGCTGCAGGTTCTCTGCATGGGACATTTACATAGTAGTAAAAATAAACTAAGAGGTGCAAAAATGTTATGCTGTTGATCTACCAAATTTTCTCTATCATCAACTGCGTCAACATGAAGCCAGAACTCAATGTGTGAGTGCATCAAACTGATAATCACAAGAACTTGCATTGCCCTCCTTGGAATACAGATGCATGTTCTTTCTTCATAAAATCAACTATCAAGTCCATGTTTCTTAAAAGGAGACATTAATGACTCATTGCTCTAATTAAATGGCATAAACTTGCCAATATTATCCTAATATAAGTTTCTGCCCTCTCATTCTACAAATCACTTAAAGGTAAGGGATAAAGTAGGGTCATTTCACCGTCATGCAATACTTTACCCAGATTACGATTAGTGTCAGGCTTGGCATCTTCTTTATAAGCCTTAGTAGCATTCCATGTATCAAGAAAAGGTTTATTGCTTTCATTTGCCTCGCCTTCTGTTCCTGGAACATGTGACATAGTTAAACCTTCTGAGCATACGTTCCCACAAGAATATGTGGCTTCCCCTACCAATTGTTACCTGTTACTCTGCTCTTCATCCAAAGTGGAATTTGAGCATTTGATGATAGACAAATTTTTTCTTGGAAGCTCTGGAATTTACTTAAATTTGTATCAGCCCGGGGCTGAATGTGTACTTCTCTTGGTACTGTTTTATCTGATGAATAACTTTGTTAATCAGATTCTCAAGCCCACGTGCTGTTTGTCCTTCCGAAAGAAGATTGTTCTGGGATTGAGTTTCTACAGGCTGCGGACTTTGGCACCCAATCATCCATTCTTGGGTTAGGCATAGAAGTTGAAGTTACAGAATTTTCTATCTGACTCTCTGATGTACCCACACACTGTGTAGATCAAACATTATCCTCCATAGCATTATCCGCACAATCAGAAATTGCCTCGGGAAGGCGAGTTTTTGAGCCCGGGTGCTCATTCATCTCTTATGATCTCCCTTTGTTTCCTATAACCTTCTTCCCACCTTGTTCTCCCTCAATCATGGGTGCATCAAGATTAAAGCCATCCAACCTGGATAGCACAAATGACTGCTAAGTTCCTAGATTGCAATCACAAGTCATGAACGAATAAGCCCAAATGTATACATTGTGAAGCTGTCTTACTCACTAAAACCAAAGGAGAAAGAAAATCTTTTCTTGGAATTTCCTTCATCGGGTGATTCTGCTTCATTTCTGTCCCTGTTGTTTGGAGATTTCTTAGATGGGCAAGAGAAATCGAGATCTGGCACGTCCACTTTGAACGATGATAACTTGTCAAAGTCAGCATCCAGATTAAAATCGACATCCCTGAAAATGGTTTTTTAACAATTAATCCACAGAAAGCAGAGATATATCCCACTCTCATAACAAGTAAGACTGTAACAAGCTTTCATGCATCTTCACCATCATCCACCATTTCAATGATTTTTGTAGTGGTTGAATGATATGTAAAGCATGGCTCGCTTAATCACCACAGGCATTGTTCTCCACAAAGAGGTAACTGTACAGGGGTGAATATACGTAACCAACACAAATATGAAGATAGAATATCAACGTTAGAGTCCACATCCATACCGGTTTATTATCTAACTGCCTATACTTTAAGTTTCACTTACAGTTTACCAAAGTTGAATTTCTTCGTCTTGCCTTTGCCAACTGTATCAAAGCTAAATTCCACTGCATCATCTTCTGCCACAGACAACGACTTCCAGAAGGTAAGGAACTCCTTTCCAAATTCAGTATCTGTTGAAATCTGATTCGACATTGAGCTATGACCTACATATCTGACTTTCATATGACATGGCCAGAAATGTGTACAAGCAAGGATCCTACTCATTGACAAGGATGAAAACCTATTTTAACACTAAGAAAGCTTTAATTTGATTTTCAAGTACGTGCAAAGTATGCTGCACTAATTATTGACCACAATATCCAAAAGCGTCATAAGTCAGGCCATACTAAATTAACAATAATAACCTAAAAAAATTAATCAGGTTTTGAAATAGAGAAATATGCATCCTTGTGGTACAGTTCCACATCTGAAGTGAATTAACTGTATTTTTAGATTTGTCAAGCTTACAGAGTACCTAGTAATGATTTATCCTCTTTCCGCTTCACCACTGCAGTTTCCTCCGGTGATTCTGCCATCTGCAAGGGAAAGAGTGAGGATAGCATAAGAAAAAAGAGAATCTAAATGGCCCTCAGAATTTACAAAAGAAAAGGGAGAATTAATTGCAAACCCCTTGAGTTTGCTGTACTACACAGCAACCTCCTCTCTTCATAAAAGCAACATCTCTTTGTGAAAACATTGCATCTATAACATTTTTGCACTTATCTTTTGCAGAAGCATATATAAACTAGCCTAGGAGGGACCTTAGCCAGTCCATTAAAGAGAACAATCCACAACTTGACATATCAACAGTTCATACGGGAGCAGCACTTACTTATACAAAGTGGTTAGGTGGAGAGTTGCAAGCTTTAAATTGAAAAACGGTGCGACCAAAAACACCCATATATACATTGCACTGTCATATATTTCTGAAGATTCATATTTCATCCGCGCACAAATGCAAAGGTAAAGGATCTCCAATTTGACAGCAGTGGTGAGATGGACGACTAACCACCACAAAACAGTAACAATCATTTCAAAATTTCTCTGCCTTGATTCAAGTGTGACATGAGTCTCACAAACTTCTAATATGAAATGTCTGAAGGAGTTTGACTAGACCGCAAGCGGATCCACTATAGCTAGTGCAAAGGATGAACGAATGCAGCATTAAACAGTTCATACAGGGGCAAAGCACAGGGCTAATCCAGTACAATGTATTCCAAGAAAAGAACACGTATGCTAATTTAACATAAGAAACTGTGGCATTGAGTTTTAGCAAATGCATGAATAGCCGTCTTATGACAACCTAAAATATGTAGGTCCTCCTATCGCATTCAGATCATTCGATTTCCAGCACGGCGAAGTTCTATTAAAATGAATGCTATTGAAAAAAAAAGATACATCAGAACAGCTACTTATCAGGGCACCATTTCTCCTATCTTCGGGTGAAACTGCCCTGAGCAGCGACAAATCTCCTACTCATACCAGTAATAGCCCTAAAGCAATTCTGAACACAAATCTGTCTATAAACTTGTTCCACCCATTTTCTGAAGCCAAATGCGCCAGAATAATAGATAAACGTAGTAATTAAGAAAGAAGTTCTTCGCTGTGCCTAACTTCCAAAATCATAGACGATGCTCAAACGAACTCGATAAAACCGATCTACATCGATCACAGAGAGGTAGGTCCTCTGAAATCAAATGGACCTACTGCGACGGAGGAAGGGAGACGCAACGAACGTGACAGTGTGAGCCTAAAGGAACTCCTCATCGGAAAAGTACGCGCGCTGGCGAAGTACCTCCGCTCAACACTTCGAAACAATCAGCGAATGCCGAAATTTCAGAGTGTACGAGCTAACGAAGACGCGACGAAAGCCATAGCAGAAGAAGATCGACGGATTACAGAAAGCTCAAAGATCGATTCGCATGTCAACGGAAGGATCTACAGTACCTCGCCTGCGAATGTGACCGCCGGCGAGCTCGTGAGCGTCGGAGAGAGAGAGAGAGATCGACTGGAGTAATCTGGTTTTTCTGAGGTTTTTGAATGGCGACTATATTTATATATAGAGCGGATTTGAAAGAGGCGGGACCGGAAAGCGACGGAAACGCGACGGAGGTTCGCCGGAGCCGACTCGTCGTGCGCTCGCCGGGAGATCTCCCGAGGGGACAGAGAAAATTCCGAGTTTGCCCCTCTATGGAAAGCATTTCCGCGGAGTGGCTAGGGAAACATTCCAATGGATCCGGATCTTTGCATCAAAAAATATCTCGACTGTCGATCACACGGACCGATCACGTGGATCGATACTTGAGAACCAAATGATCAACGATCTTGATGGATTCTGGATACGTAGACTTAGGTTACAGACGATAGACAAGCATTTACTCTCACGCTGAGAAAATATGTTCCGAACTCGAGAAGCTATGAACTGATTGCTATCCAAAGCCCATCTCATATGCCTATTGTCGCGCCAAGAAGAGGGCACCTGTGGTCCATTAATAGCTTAAAGCTGGCTTTTTAGCCAAAAAAAAAAAAAACTTAAAGCTGGCTTGAGTAGGAATTTAAAGAAATTGATAAGAATATGAATGTCTTATTATTATATAATTGAGGATTTTAAAGTTGTGTTGTGCCGACATTTATTCCGCCCCTTCTGCTATTGAAATGTTGCTGCTCGTTGCTGAGCGAGTCTATCACCATAGTTCTATTAGATACGGGAAGGGAAATCCAAGATCGACAATACACGTAAGTCCACGCTCGTCCTTTGCAAACTAATAAAAAAAATTTATTTATGTTTTTTTGGGGCCCTGCTATTCACTTCGCTCCAAAAAGTTGAACGGGCCTCTTGAATTTTATGTTGAATATCTAAGTTTTGTTTTTTTTAAACTTATTTTTACTATTCTTATTTCCCCTCTTATGTACAAGTTTATAAAACAATTCTCTTAATTATCCTATCAGATTAATAATGACAGGAAACATTTATTTCTTAGTGTGATCATTTATAATTACGCAAGCAAGAAAATGACCTTGATATATGTAAGTTTTTATTTTACGTGAAATATATACTATCTATCAGTAATCAACATTTGGTATCTTCAAAAACATGAAACTTCAAAAAATAATTTTAAGATACAATGATAACTAAAATTATTTCAAGAATGGCTTTTAGATTTTTTTTTTCTCAGTCCAAAGTAGAAACACTTTTCGTTATCTTACTTTTGGTACTGATTTATTATGCAATTATCTTTCCTGAAAATACATACTGAGTTGATGGCCATGGGAAAAAGGTTGCAACCGTGCTTTGACAATAGCTCGGCCAATGTGTGTTTGGTATTACACGGCTAGTCTGAGTCCCTCTTCACCAATCCGCCATTTGTTCTTCCCTTTGAGATGGTCGATAGCCCTCGACTTCGGCCATCCCGATCGTCCTCGTGTTCTCAACCTCGGAGAGCTGAGCGGACGTTTCGACCATGTCCTATGCTGTCGGGCATTTTCTGCTCATCCCTTATAAGATGGTTCGATTCGGTTAGGCCGTTCGGAATATTTTCTGCTCATCCCTTATAAGATGGTCGAGTAAATGAATCCATGTTCAGATTCTTGCACAATTTTTCATGTGGGTGCTATTGTAATTATGGGTTAATGGATCCATGTATGTGAGCAAAACGAGACATGTCACTTCAGTTCACATGTCATTACAATTCATGTATCTGTTAAATTCATGAATATCTTCGGTTCATGTATCTCTTGAGTTCATGAATCTCTTCTATGCATGTATCAATTAAATTTATGTATCTCTTGAATTCATGTATCTTTTTAGTTCATGTGTCTGTTTGGTTCATGTCCATTTAAATTCTATAAATAGAATTGAATTATTCTTCATTTGATCGGGGAAGAATAGAGAAAAGAGAAGAATAGAATATAGTGTCTGTTCTTCATTCCATAGAAGATAGAGTACATGGAATATAGAGAGTATAGAGAATAGAATAAACGTTCTCTTCAATTTATTTTTTCTCTAGGCGTGACGGTTTAGAGAAGTGTTCAATAAAGTTTTGTTTGCATGGTATTAATTCAAACGAGTTCTAGGTGTTATATCTTAGGAGGCATAGTTTTGTAAAGCTGTTTAGCACCATTGACAGAAATTAATCACCTAAGGAAATTTAGTTAGCTGTACCTCACTTCCTAATAAATTTTATTACAATCCGTTCGGTTCTTTCCCACATGATGCATGGCATAGTCGAATGATTGTAGCGGCCAGCCAAGGCTTCTTCGGGTGAGAATCCACAGAGGCTCCGCTCACATCTCTACCTCATCACACCGGGCGAAGGAACTCTCCTGCTCAAAGCATTTCCTCATTTCCGATATTGCATCTCTTCAAGAAATGGCCCGAGGACTTCTTGAGTCAATGACCAACACAAAGTTGGGCAATAACCTGTTCACTCCGTGTGGCTGCGTTTGCCAAGGTTAAATGTTATCGCTTTCTCAGTTATATTATTTCTGTTTTATTTTTATGATCACAACAAACAGTATCATGTTGCGAATACTTTTCCAACAGGTGCAACGATGAGGCAGAATCCCAAACGTCTATGGAATAATTGGGGAAAGTACGTGGGGAAAATGATGTCGTAGGTCGCTTTGGAGTTTGATGTTGGTCACTGTATTCAGAATTGTGCTTGTTGGCAAGTGATCATGCCCTTATGTGATGGCATCTTTACAATAAATACATGAAATGAATAGTTTCTCCGCTTCTGCTACTGAGTGTCGTGGCATGCTAAATCATGGTATTAAAACTTCGTTTTTCCCAGATACATGTCTAAACATGGTTAATAATATTCGATAATGTATTCACTGCTAACCGCGCCCAATACAACTGCAGCATCATGGACGTTCGCTAGCTTCAGCCCCAATAATCACTAACTTCATATCAAATGCTTAACGAAAACGAAAATTTCACACCAAACACTTAACAACGACTGCATGGTCCCATATCATTTGCTGCATTTACTTCTCATCCTTGCTTATAGAGGGATTTTAGCATGGTGCTGTGGAGGAGGACCTTCGGGACTAACCCGTTTGGAACCATAATAACTCTCGACTTTCTTGAACTCATCACGAGCCGTTGTCGTCTTAAGAGACTCAACATGGACCGTCGACCTTCTGAATTCGCGGACGAGAGTGGAAGCCTCGGAGCTGGTCCAGGAAAAGGCTATCAGCGTCAGGCACAGACATAATCCCAACCTGGCCATCGACCTTCTGATCTGATTACAGTGTAAGGTTTTTGCTTGGGAGAGGACTACAATCAGTCGGTATTTATAGCCCTCCCCTCACATACCCTCTAGTTTTTTCTCTCTCTGTGTAAAAAATGAATGGAAGTGGCGAAATAGAGACCTTCCCACAATCTGCCAATCTGATAGGAACTCACGGAGCCCTCTTGCAAATTTTATGAAGTTAAAACGCTTTCCCCGCCAGTGGAGTCTTGAATACGTGATGCCAAATGAACTTACTTGTCGGCTACTTCAATCATTACCAATGCCATGCTTCGTGAGTAGTTACGAAAGCCTTTCTTGTGCTTTTGTATGGTCGAATGATTCAACCTTTTAGTCTGATCTGCCCGACAATGTCAGATCTAGTTTTTGTCGCTATTCAACTTTCTTTAAGGCTTACAATCCCGGCCTTCTATAGTTGGATTCACGTCCTCACCGAGTGCCGTCCCTTTCTTCTGTGTTTTGGCCCGCAAGACAAAAGGTCCTTTTCTTGGGGTCTTGACAAGTGATCCACTTAGACTTAGCAATCTTTGCAACAAGTTGAGATGATAAAATATAATTTACTACATGATAAACCCAAGATATCGCAACAAGCCGTCACAAGCTCCATCTAGGTTATAATATCAAATCACGAGGTCTCGAGTTCGATTATTCACTCTTTTCACCTTCAACAATTTTCGAAGAGTAATAGGCTCGCATATTCCATACTTTCACTCTTCCATCCACCAGCATTTGCCATCAGGAGGTATTGAGATATAAAACTTGGTGCACTCTCTAATAACTTAAACCTTTGGAACTACTTATCGCGCACACCAACCATAAGAAAAGCAATGTCATCCATGCTCTTCATCTGTACATTCCTGGGAGCATGTGTAATTGAACCAGATATCTTGGAGAACTCCTGAAAGCAATTTTAGACCTTTTACTTTCTATCGGTTTTTGCATAGAGGTGGTCAAAAAGATAAATGAAGATAAAGAAGATAATTTTTGCCACCCTCAGACAAATAATCAAATAGGTTAGGCATCATCCGATGGTTCAAATGTCGCACAATTGTATTGGCATTGCCCTGGCTTTCCCACTGTTAAGAAAACACTAAATCTAGACACGGAGGTGGCTTTTATAATGACCTCCAATAGGAGACCGGGTTACTCTCAATTGAAAGGAAATAACAAGCCGAGATCGAACAATTATGAATGTCAAGTTTGAGAAGTTGGTCCTATATTTGAAACATTGAACTTGACAGCATCTCATGAACACAGGGAGAAGAAAAATATAGTCTTGATTCAGCAAGGCACCGGAAATGTCCTCGGGATTTCATCACGAACCAACAGGACAGAAAAATATAGACTGTCCCTAAATATATGCAGGAAGCCAGTATGCTTTCACAATCCATAAGTCTGAGAAACAAGCGTGCGTATACTTTCCTGATTCATCATTGCACCCCATGTTCAGAGGAGTGTCTGAGCAAGTAGGCATTTCCCATGTTTGTAGAGGCACATGCATGCATCTTCCATGATCTCCTGCGATTCTGTTTGGGTGTGACTTGTTCGCGTTTGTGTGTTGGAGAGAGAGAGAGAGAGAGAGGCAGAGTAGATACCTCGTCTGATGCAACTTCAAGTGTGAATCTCCTTGGACATGAGCTGTGATGCAAACTTCTGCTCCCTACGGATGTTTTATCTGGTGAAGGAATTACAAAGAAATGCCAGAGGGGAAAAGAAACATATCATGAACAACCCAAAGAACCAAAAGGATATCTGTTCTTCGTAGATGGGATGATTGAGCATTAACAGATTGTTGTTGTTCACAAGTGCTCGAACAAGCAATTCTTTAGCTTCTTCCTGCTTCTTCTTTAGCATGTTGCAGATCTGAAAGACAATTCCCTTAGGTGGCCAATATATTAACGGTAGAAGGATCAAAGATGGTAGAATAGACGAGGCAACAGTTCAATGCCCTTCTCCGCAATATCCTCAGACTAGGTTCCAATGGCCTTCCAAAAACTCAATTGCTCGTGATAGAACTTTAATTATAGAAAATAACTATAAAGTGCTACAGATTCATGCTTAAGGAAAATTAAGTCAGACTGTAGAAAAAATCACAAATTCCGTATTAGGCAAGTTCTCTTCATCAATTGATTTCTAGTTGTACAAATTCAATAAGTGATGATGCATAATGTCAATGAAACCATAACTAAATTATCAGAAGTGAAGAGCAAACATCCAGTAGTGAAACGTACAAATTCAAGAAGCTCAGGCTCGCTCATCCCTCAACCCCCCACCCCCGCCTCACCAACCCCACCAAAGAAAATAATAAGTAAATGGATAAAAGAAATAATTAAAAAGAAACTCATCTCAACCACTCATCCAGTAAGCCACAGAAAGTTGTCCATGGGCAACTACTCCATGTGACTTGACAACCTCGTATATTCTTTTCCTAGTGCTTTGTTAGCACTATTATTGTCTCTCAATTAGAATCTTCATGGTCTCTGACTATACAATATGCAAATAATTGATCTTCAAAGCCAAAAAGTGCATAATCAACTCACTTATAGCAAAAATAATTTAGCCGCAATTCACTTACATCTTCAAGTTCCTTTGTATAAGCTTCAGCCTTTCCAGCACTTTCATCAGTTTCCATGACCAATGGACTTCCAACTTCAGTTGCCCTCGCCGTAGGAGAAATCTTAAGCTGAAATTTAGGATGGTCACCAGACACACTGTTGGTTTTGTTTTGTTCAGTGTTCTCATGATTGCAAACCTGATACATATAATCTAAGAAACCAGCAAGGAACGAGTTTCGACCCTCTGTTGAAATAGAAAACCCTAAGAAGGTTCTGTCCATTTACCTGTTTGGTGACAACAGCTTCGGAGGATTCTCTGAAACTTCTGAAGTGTCAAGGGTAAGAACATTACTTCCACAAACAAAACCCAGTCACAGGAGAGAGGCAAGTGGAGTTATTAGCACTCTTCACCTTTTTTCACTTGGAGACGCAGAGGGCCACTCCAGTGGACTAAGTGATATCAAATTGGCAACTGATCCCTGCAAAATAGACACTCACGAATTCTAATGCATTGCAAAATAGCACCCCCATAATTATATTTGCAACACCCTATTGAAGTAAGGTATTACTTGGAAGTGAAGAGCAAACAATAGAAAGGAACCTCAGATGATTTCCCTTATGAATTGAGAAGTGGCTGGTTTTATCGATTTACCTGTTCTGTGACAACAGTTTCGGAGGATTCTCGGAAAATTCTAAAGCGTAAAAAGTAAGAACATTACTTCCACAAACAAAACCCAGTCACGGAAGCAAGGATAATGGAGTTATTAACACTCTTCACCTTTTCTCACTTGGAGACTGAGAGAGCCGTTTTAATGGACTAAATGACATTAAATTGGCATCTGATCCCTGCAATATAGACACTCACGGCTTCCAATGCATTACAAAATAGCATCCCCATAAGTATATTTGTAGCACCCTATTGAAGAGGTGTAAGGTATTACTTGGAAGTGAAGAGCAAACAACAGAAAGGAACCTCATATGATTTCCGCTTTAAGGATGAATTGAGAAGTGACTGGCTGTCGGTGCTTTTACTACGATCAGCTAACCCACGTGCTGCATCACCTCGCATAGCCCTTATTTGCTCAGAGTCTCTCATGGATCTGATTTCCTCTGTAGGATTGGAACCAAGTTGATCTTCTCTGGTTCTTGTGGCCCTGCACATATTGACATCTTGATCTCTAAAAGTATCTTTAAATTCAAATACCAGTACATCAAGTTAGGATGCAGGTTAGACCTCATCATTCTCAAGCTAGAAAGATGAAAAGCCCTCTTGGCAGAATTAAGAGAGTTACTGTTCTTCATATCAACATTTCTGACCCTTGAAGATTCCTTGCTTGAATTAGTGACTTCAGGATTCATGCATATCTTAACAATTGGTTTTGGCAACTCATTTAAACTGCCCGTCTTGCATGGAGAACTGCAAAAGTTTAGTGCAAGCAGACTAAGCATATGCAAAATAGTGCTGTGTCAAAGGTCTAATCCAATATATGCAATCTACTTGTTAGAGCAGGCAATGTCTAAGACGGGAAATGACATAACACGAGCAGCATCATATCCATATAAAGAACAGATATGACATGGCATCGATACATTTTTCTGTAAACAAGAGTTATTTCGGTCTTAAAACTATATATCATTTAAAGGAATATCGCTCCCATTTCATGTGACTCAAAGGGTTCAAACTGAACATGGATATATCAAGCTACAGCAGATTGCGAACACTACTTCCAGGCTTGTAGTCTTCTAGCATAAATTTAGTCATATTTTACCAGAGACAATAAAGATGTCAATATCCTCTTAAAAGCATACTGTGGTGAATCTAACATGACCTTTCCTGGCAAATAATAATGGAAGACTTGGACTTGAGAGACAATTATAAGCAAAACTTTATGATTTCAGCTGAAAAGGCTCTAATTTCATCAACAGCAAGCAAATAATCAAGAACATGAAAAGACTTTACACATATATCTATATGTGTGTTGATCAAACTAGTAATATACAGCAATTAGGAGAGTGTCCGATTTCTCAATGCAAAGTATGATATACAGTTGAACAAAAAAAAATCTCATTTTACTCTAGATGAATGTCCATTACATAGCAGAAGAGTGATAACCAGGGCACCTTTATATGGGAAGGACGTAAACTTTTCCCTTTTTTTTTCTTTCGTGTTTGTGTGTGGGTGGGGAGTGGCAGCGGGAAGAAGACAACTTACACATTACTAACTCACTGTCAGCAATTGTTAACTGAAGTACATGGGAAGATGAAATCAGTAGAATTTGAACAACATTTCATTCAACTGTAAAGTTACAACTTGATTGGGTACCGATGCCTCACCCCAGATTGAGAAGTGGTTTTCACACTGTTATGGCTTCCGGTCAAAGGAGATTGACTTTTTGTGTGCTCCCTTGCAAGTGAATTTAGACCAACCAGCAACTTTCCTCCAACTTGAGAATCTTTGGCATTGTCTTCCAACCTTTTGAAGATTGCATAAACCATGTGATGTTATAAAGCACGGAATGTCCAATCAAAGAAACTAGAATAAAAAGGAATATTTTCACTCTTTTTCATTTAGATGTACAGAAGCAAGTCTTTTGCTGATAATTTGAGTAAGCATTCTCCCAGTTAATAGATCTCGAGAAGACTGACTCTTAATTTCCTCTGATTTATTAAATAAATTTGAGTGGGCTTGTCCAGGCAACCTACAGGTAAAGAAAGAGGACAATATATAAGCTGCAAGCTCTCTGCTTGGGACATTTACATAGTAGTAAAAATAAACTAAGAGATGCAAAAATGTTATGCTGTTGATCCACCAATCTTTTAACTGAACTCTGGATATCACCATAAAATGCATCGTGATAGCAAAACTCAATGAATGAGTGCATCAAACTGATAATCACAACAACTTGAATCCCATCCTAAAATATTAAACTACGGATGCATATGCTTTCTAAATTTTCACAAAATCAACCATCAAGTCCGTGTTTCTTAAAAGGAGACACTAATGGCTCATTGCTCTAATTTGGCATGGCAGAAACTTTCCAATATCATCCTAATATAGATTCCTTCTCATTCCTCTAATCACTCAAAGGTAAGGGATAAATGGGACAACCTGAAAACAGCCATTTCACTGTCATGCAGAACTATACTTGGGATAATACGGGCTGTATCATTAAGATTTGTATCAGGCTTGGCCTCTTTGTTATCAGCCTTAGTAGCATTCAATGTATCAAGAAAAGGTTTATTGCTTTCATTTGCCTTGCCTTCTGTTCCTGGAACATGTGACATAGTTAAACCTTCTGAGCATACGTTGCCACAAGAATATGTGGCTTCCCCCACCATTTGTTACCTGTTACTCTGCTCTTCATCCAAAGTGGAAGTTGAGCATTTGATGATAGACAAATTTTTTCATGGAAGCTCTGGAATGTAATTAAATTTGTATTAACCCGGGGCTGAATGTGTACTTCTCTTGGTACTGTTTTATCTGATGAATAACTTTGTTAATCAGATTCTCGAGCCCACGTGCTGTTTGTCCTTCCGAAAGAAGATTGTTCTGGGATTGAGTTTCTACAGGCTGCAGACTTTGCACCCAATCATCCATTCTTGGGTTAGGCATAGAAGTTGAAGTTACAGAATTTTCTATCTGACTCTCTGATGTACCCACACACTGTGTTGATCAAACATTATCCTTCATAGCATTATCCGCACAGTCAGGAATTGCCTGGGGAAGGCGAGTTTTTGAGCCCTGGTGCTCATTCATCTCTGACGATCTCCCTTTGTTTCCTATAACCTTCTTCCCAACTTGTTCTCCCTCAGTCATAGGTGAATCAAGATTAAAGCCATCCAACCTGGGTAGCACAAATGACTGCTAAGTTCCTAGATTGCAATCACAAGTCATGAAAGAATAAGCCCAAATGTATACATTGTGAAGCTGTCTTACTCATTAAAACCAAAGGAGAAAGAAAATATTTTCTTGGAATTTCCTTCATCAGGTGATTCTGCTTCATTTCTGTCCATGTTGTTTGGAGATTTCTTAGATCGGCAGGAGAAATCGAGATCTGGCATGTCCACTTTGAATGATGATAACTTGTCAAAGTCAGCATCCAGATTAAAATCGACATCCCTGAAAATGGTTTTTTAACAATCAATCCACAGAAAGCAGAGATATATCCCACTCTCATAACAAGTAAGATTATAACAAGCTTTCATGCATCTTCACCATCATCCACCATTTTAATGATTTTTGTAGTGGTTGAATGATATGTAAAGCATGGCTCACTTATTCGCCACAGGCATTATTCTCCACAAAGAGGTAATAGTACAGGGGTGGATATATGTAACCAACACAAGTATGAAGATAGAATATCAACGTTAGATTCCACATCCATGCCGGCTTATTATCTAACTTCCTATACTTTAAGTTTCACTTACAGTTTATCAAATTTGAATTTCTTTGTCTTGCCTTTGCCAATTGTATCAAAGCTAAAATCCACTGTGTTATCTTCTGCCACAGACAATGACTTCCAGGAGTACTAACTATTGAACACGATATCCAAAAGAGTCATAAGTCAGGCCATACAAAACTAACAATAACAACCTAAACAAATTAATTAGGCTTTGAAATAGAGTAATATGCATCCTTGTGGTACCATTCCACATCTGAAGTGAATTAACTGTATTTTTAGATTTGTCAAGCTTACAGAGTACCTAGTAATGATTTATCTTCTTTCCGCTTCACCACTGCAGTCTCCTTTGGTGATTCGGCCATCTGCAAGGGAAAGAGTGAGGATAGCATAAGAAAAAAGAGAATCTAAATGGCCCTCAGAATTTACAAAAGAAAAGGGAGAATTAATTGCAAAGCCCCTTAGGGTTGGCTATACTACACAGCAATCTCCTCTCTTCGTAAAAGCAACATATCTTTGTTAAAACAGAGCATCTATAACACTTTTGCACTTTATCTTTTGCAGAAGAATATATAAGCTAGCCTAGGAGGGACCTTAGCCGGTCAATTAATGAGAACAACCCACAACTTGACATATAAACAGTTCATACGGGAGCAGCACATACTTATACAAAGTGGTTAGGTGGAGAGTTGCAAGCTTTAAATTTAAAACTGTTGCGACCAAAAACACCCATATATACATGCCACTGCCACATGTTTCTGAAGATTCATTTCTCATCCTTCCACAAATGCAAAGGTAAAGGATCTCCAATTTGAGAGCAGTAACGACCATTTCAAGATTTCTCTGCCTTGATTCAAGTGGGATACGAGTCGCGCATACTTCTAATATGAAATGTCCAAAGGAGTTTGACTAGACCGCAAGTGGATCCACTATGGCAATTGCAAAGGATGAACAAATGCAGTATTAAACAGTTAATACAGGGGGCAAAGCACATGGCCAATCCAGTATAATCTGTGCCAAGAAAAGAACACGGATGCTGATTTAGCATAAGAAACTATAGCATTGAGTTTTAGCAAATGAATCAAGCCAATCTACGTCGATCACGAATAAGTCTTCCGAAATCAAGGCACAACAAAGCGAGATTCCAGAAGGAACTCCTCATCGGAAAATTTCGCATCCCATTGATTTCACCACCGGAAAACTAAAAACTTCGAAACGATCAGCGACCGCCGGAATCACAGAGTGTACGAGGCTACGAAGACGCGACGAACGCCATGACAGAAGAAGATCGACAGATTACAAAAAGCTCAAGGATCGATTCTCATGTCGACACAAGACGAATCGCTCGACCGAGACAACAGAAGGATCTACAGTACCTCGCTTGCGATTGTGACCGACTGGAGTTGAATCTGGTTTTTCAGAGGGTTTTGAATGGCGACTCTATTTATATATAGAGAGAGTGGATTTGAAAGAGGCGGGACGGCAAAGTGATGGAAACTCGACGGAGGTTCGTCGGAGCCGATTTGCCGTGCGTTCGCCGGGAGCTTTCCTCAGGGGACAGAGTAAAATTCCGAGTTTGCCCCTCTAGGGGAAGCAACTGCGCGGAGTGGCTAGGGAAACATTCCAATGGATCCGGATATTTGCATCCGAAAAAAAATGTTTTCCAACAATTACCTGAACCCACTCTTGGGAACCACATGATCAACCACTTTGATAGATTAGGGGCATGTAGACTTTTGGTTACAAACAGTAGACAGGCATTTATCACCACGCCAACAAAATATGAACCGATCTCGAGAAGTTGATAAGAAAATGAATATCTTAAAGCTGGTTTGAGTAGGAATTAAACAAATTGAAAAGAAAATGAATATCTTATTATTATATAAATGAGGATTTTAAAGTTGTGTCGCGTTGACATTTGTCCCGCCTCATCCGATATTGAAATGTGGTTGCCCGCTCTTGAGCGAGCCTATCACCGCAGTTCCATTCGATACGAGTAGGGAAATCCAAGATTAACGATACATATAAGCCCAAGCTCATCCTTCGCAAGCTAATAAAAAAAATTATTTATATTTCTTTGAGGCTCTGCTATACACTTCGCTTCAAAAAGTCGAATGGGACTCTTGAATTTAATGGTGAATGTCTAAGTTTTGTTTATTTTTTTTTAACTTATTTTTACTATTTATACTTCCTTTCTGTGTATAAGTTCATAAAACAATTCTCTTAATTACCCTATCAGATTAATAATGATAGGAAACATTTATTTCTCGGTGCGATCATTTATAATTACGCAAGCAAGAAAATGACCTTGATATATATAAGTTTTTGTTTATTCTACGCGAATTATTTACTATATATCAGTAATTAACATTTGGTATTTTACGTGAAATATTCTCTTAATTTGTAACGCTCAAGTTTTCTAATGTGTAATAAGGAGTTATAAGCAACTGAGTTCATGGCCATGGAAAAAGGTTGTAACCGAGCTTTGACAAGAGCTCGGCCGATGTGTGTGGTATTACACGGCGAGTCTGAGTCCCTTCTTCAACAATCCGCCATTTGTTCTTCCCTTCGAGATAGTCGATAGCCCTTGACTCCGGCTATCCCGATCGTCCTCGTGTTCTCGACCTTGGAGAGCTGAGCGGACATTTCGACCATGTCCTGTGCTGTTGGGCATTCCGAGGGCCGATCCACAGTTCCACAAGTCGTACGCCGAAGAACTGCGGCTCCAGAGACAACACCCTTGGCACGCAGAGCGCTCCCTCATCCTCCAAACGGGCCCAAACCGGGTAGGCCTTCCGCTGCACTCCGTGCGATGTTCGGTTTGGATTTCGGCCGTGCGATTGAGACTCTTACCTGACAAGGGACATTCCCGTTCGAGGCGAGAGTTTCAGAGTCATGAATGCACATTGACCTTCCATTGCTTTTGAAGATACTAGGTGAGTTTAGCTGCAGCCTGTGCAGGGATGTGATCGCGGAGGCAGATTGTTACGTCTCTTTCGACTGCGCTGTCTTTTGGCGCAAGAGGTGCGTCGCTGAGATCATTAAACACCCCTTTCCATCCCCATCGCCCTCGTTCTGGTCGATGGTGATCTCAGAGAAGCGCATCGTAAGGCCTGTCGCTGTTACGAATGTGATTTCTCTACCTTGACCAGAAGTGTGCGATAGGCCTCTGCCTCATAAGCATCTGCTCACGCACTTCCAAGAGGAGATGAGGAGCTGGATTTCGTGCACTGCTTGTCATAATAGCATAAAATCGGGCGAATTTCATGGTTGCGTCAATTTGGTCTTTCTTCCTCCACCAATCCTGCGCCCAAGCGCCCGTGGAGATACGACACTATCTCCATCTAGACCACTCTCTCAAGCTCACTGCTTACATTCGAACCGACAACGTGAGCTACTAGGATTCGCCTGCACGGATTCCGACTGCTCCCAATTGCCCAAGCTGCTCGGATTCTTCTCAGGTGATCGACATCGCCTCCCCCATATGTGCCACCTGCTTGGACTCTGTCAAGGGTTTCTATTACTATCAGCGGACGTGCGCCTTCTATCTAGAGCGAGATTTTCTTCTCAAAACTCTCACATATCATCAGCGAGGAGCGAATGCGACGATTCCGCCTTCCTCACACCCGCATGAAGCTATGCCGTTGCATGCCGAGCATACCTCTTCTCAGTATTGTGAGGCTTGTGGTTGGGCTTGCTTGGGTCCAATCTATTGATACTCTCTGGAAGATTGCGGTTGTCATGTCGTGTCCACAAATTGTGTGCGGAGCTGCCTACGGCATTATCACCCGCAATAGCTGCTCGCTCTTTGCGGCGCAACATCAGAAGAAGACTTGTGTTGCACTTTCTACCCCTGTGACAGGGCAATTGATGGTGGGTTCAGATTTTCCTGCACAGATTCTGAATTCATTTTGCATCCTTCTTGTGCCACGAGGCCGATTCCGAAACATCACTTCCGTGAGCATAGTCTGATCTATCTCGAGGCAGCCTACGGCGTTGGAGGAGAAGGAAAAGCGAACCTGCGATGCAACCCTTGCGCTAGCCGATGTGCCGTGGATGACTACCATTGTCTCGATTGTGATTTCAAACTCCACCCCGATCGCTTTCACCTACCACAGAGTATAAAGAGCAAACATCACCTCGATCCGCTGACCCTCAATGAGTATATCGTGGAAGATGATTCGGGCGAGGACTACTGCGACATCTGCGAGAGAAGGAATCCAGACTTATGGGTTTGCTATTGTGGAGAATGCGAGTTAGCCACTCATGTTAAGTGTGCAATATGTCCTGTAAGTCTGAAGCATAAATTTACAGGAAAAAAATTAATGGTCAAATCAAATGCGAGCTTTATGAATT